TTAGTCTTCCTGGCCTCCACAGACACCTGCACACACACACACACACACACACACACACACACACTTAAAAAATAAAACAAATCTTTTTAAAATGCCTATTAGAAGGACTGATCATCACTAACATTTTTGTTCTGGAGAGAGTAGGAGAAAATTCATCAATAAACAACACTGCAACACTGCTAACATTGTTTTCTCTCTAACCAATTGGCTGGCAGAAAGCATTTACATCATTAAAATCTTGACCCAATCGGGAAAGATGATGTATTTCACAGGAAAAGGACTTTTTGTTTCATTCCTCACATCTGTAGTCTAGCACAGACTCCAGCCGCTGCTAGGCATTCGAGGTGAATTTATTTCTATATATCAAACTAGGAATTAAGGCATTTTTGCAGAAAGTGCCCTCCTACAAAATCTTAAGCTACCTGGTGTTATATTAATAAAAGTTCAGGTTAAAGGTTTCTTGTAAGTGGATTTTGTTACTAAGATCATAACTGCGATCCATTTGTAATTTACCTGTCATCATTGAATGTGCACAATAAAATGTTAGCTATTGATCACTACAGAAGTATGTTTTTCAGGCGGTCTACTAAGCCTTGAGTTTGAAGAAAAAAAATCCCAAGACTTAGACTAGAAGATTTTTCTCTAAAACTGTGGAGTTTGTTAAGCTAGGTATAGTGGCACATGCCTTTAAACCCAGCGCTCAGGAGATAAAGGCAGGTAGATCTCTGTGCTTTGGAGGCCAATCTGGTCAATACTATTCCAGACTAGCCAGGGCTGTCTAATGAGAACTTGTCTTAAAGCTCACTAACAAACAATCAAACAAACAAGTAAATAAAAACAGTGTTTTTCAAAATCTCAGTGCTGTATGATGACTGAGTGAGTGACCCAGCTGGTGGGCAGATTCTTATTGTATGGGTTTTCAACCAATTTTGGTTGAAATATAAACTGTTGGATAGTATATAATTATTTTCACAAAATGCATAATCACAACTGCCAATTTCTCCATGACTAACCCTGCCAGATGTTTCTTTGGTTTTGCTGAGTCACTTTTTCTCCCCCACTCAGAACTCTGTGTTCTCACTAACTCTGAATTCCCTCTGGCTTTTTCTCATATTTTGCCTTTTACCTTCATGGTGGGGCGGGGGGAGAAATGGTTAAATTGCTCTTTTTACCATCTCGAACGCAAATAACAGTTTTTAAAAAAATTACTCTCAATTTAACCTTTTGCCATAAATCTTTACCTGTCCTTTTCCTAGGAAGACAGACATTTTGAGGAAATTATGCTAAACAGCCATTAAGCCTGGCTATCAACAGTCTCATCACATCCCATGACTGAGCAGATTCTGAATCACCCTAGAATGCAGTCTGTTAGAAAAATGAACAGCTCCCAAACTTCTCTATCCTGTCTGAAACTGCCTCTCCTTTAGTTAAAAGTCCTGGAAGTCAGAGAGAGACAGCTGGGGCTGGCTACAGAGTGGTCCCTGACTTTTGATTCACATAGATTTGCATTTTCTCACCAATCCGACCATCTCACTGACGGGCTCCTAGACAGAAAAACTTCAGTGACAGAGTTCATCTCTTGAATGTTAAAACTTCCAGCTGCATGCATAGCTGTATAATAATCTTCATTGATTCAAACATATGAAACCCCTCCTAAGTACTGGTAACTGTGCTAAGAGCTGGGAGGAAAACATGATCCCCTCCCCACTCAGGCCAAAAAAAAAAAAAAAAAAAAAAAAAAAGCTTGAATGGGGAAGACTGAAGTGTGAGTTCACAATGGAAATTATGTAAGCGCTGGATGAATCGGTAAAGCTATTAGCATGCTCTATAAATGTGCACAGGAAGGGTTGAAAGTGTCCTGGTCATTTGTGGACTGCTCATCAGGCATACTTCACCACTGGTTATGCAAAAGGAAATCGAAATCGAGGTTTCTACGTGTCTTCATGCATGTGTGTTTTAAGGAATAGCCAACAGGATCTTTCTGCCTATGCACAATAAGTTACCCAAGCTGCAAGTGTTTCCCACACCACTGCAAAACACTTTTGAGTGTCTGTGAATGGAAAAGTTGATCATTCTTTGAACCATTTTCTTGACGAAATCTTCCTTCGATCAGGTGTAGGAGAAGACAAGGTCAAGAGGGAAAGCCCCTCGTAAAGGACCAGGTAGTGCTGCATTGTGCAGGTAAGTCAGTGAGTCCACAGCCACCGGCTGGCCTCAAGACTGCTATTGTAAACGGTATCTAAGAGTTTCTGCCCTGTCTGTTCTCAGACATAATCAGGAAGCCTAATCAAAGCCACTGTGAGGCTGACAACAGTTCAGTAACTTTTTACACTTCTCAGAGCCTACAAGGTGGACCTAAGGCTTGACTTTACTGAAGGAAGTGACAAAAAAAAAAAAAACAAACCAAACCAAATCAAAAAAACAACAACAACAATAACAACAACAACAACAACAACAAAACCCTATAAAGCAGTGTTTCTCAACCTGTGGGTGGCGACCCCTGTGGGAGATTGAAGGACCCTTTTACATGGGCTGCCTAAGACCATAGGAAAACACAGATATTTACATTACGATTCACAACAGTAGCAAATTTATGTTTATGGAAGTTGCAATGAAAATAATTTTGTGGCTGGGAGGAGGCATGTAACATGAGGAACTGTATTAAAGGGTCACAGATTTAGGAAGGTTAAGAACCACTGGTATAAAGGAAGGAATAAGTTGAACACTCAACAAGGAATGACAAGAAATCTTTTGACAAATCTTTGGACAAATACTACCAATATGATTTATGACATTCTCAGATCTGAACAGCTTCACAGCAAAATCTAGAAAAGGAAGCCAGGAAACAGGTGAGGAAAACCAAAGCCTGCACCGTGACACCTGGCTGCGGCTAGTTCAGTGACAGAGGTGTGCTTGGAATGGGTGGGCTCCAGGATCCATTCCCAGCATCTAGAAAGGAAAACAAACAAAACTGGAAGTCCCAATGTCATTTATTTTTCAGTTTCATTTTTTGTTTTTCTGAATTTTGGAGGAATTCGCTCAAACCCACAGCTGTCTTCTCCAACGCGAGACCCATCCTTCCTGCAAACCCCTGGCTACAGAAGTCACGCTCAGATTCTCTTCTGAAGTTGGGAACGAGAACCGGGACCGAGTGGCAGGGGCGGGGGAGGAGGTGCGGGGCTGCCAAGTGACCTTTAGACTTAATCCAGGGCACTTGTCCATGGCAAACACGTGCATTTACTGCACCGCCCTGCACAGTGTACCAAGGGACCGACAGAATGTTCCGCTAACCACTGGGGGCTCCGGCAGAGCAATGGAACCGGCCTTGTCTACTTGAGATGGTCCAGAAAACCCATACAATCTCTGCTAGGGACGAAGCCTACATGGAAAGCACAGAGAAAGTAAGGCTCCCTTGACTTGCAACTCAGGTCTCTCCAACACGACTCCTTTCTCCCTGGCAGGCCACCCAGGCTGGTCATCCAGGGATCGGCCCGGCAGCCTGGGACTCCGTAGCACCTGGATCCGCCTGCGCCGAAGGGGCAGCTCGGTGCTCGGCGGCGTTGTTGA